TGGTTCCTTCATGTCGGTTGTGCCTTCAATAATTGGGGTGCTTTTCATTTATTACTGTCTCTGGTTGGATGACGATCTTTTTCGTAGTCTCAAATCGCTTCTACCTATAAGAGCAACAGATTTAATTCGAAACACGTTATTATTCCTTGATTTTGTGCATTACTTTGCACTTTGTGGGAAGGAAAGTTTATTACTTTTTTTTATAAATTTTCCGCTGAATAAATTGGCAAAACAGCATCGTGTCCTAATGTTATTTTACTTCCACACACTGGTGTGTATTTTTTAAGCACATCAGTGCATGAAAGGAATAAATGCTCTGTGCACTCCTTGATTTCGTGTTACTTGTTGGTGGTAAATAACTTATGTAACCTCTCTTTCTAGGTAGTTTAACATAAGACACGAGTTTAGTATAAATAAGCACAGCCTAATATATGACATACTAATATTTTAACAACCTTAATCAATTCTTAATAGTCTTACTTTAAATTATACTTGATCAGTATTTTGTTTACTGAAATGAAAATTAATCAGATTTAGTCTCTCAACAATTGCGCTTTGTTAACGACAGACGCGCAATATGGCGTTGCATTTATGCATTGCCATTTTTTACTGTGTTTTGAGGAACTATCTCAAAGGGTGTTTTAATTTTTCAAAACGCAAAAGATTACCCAATCAACTTCATGGTTGTTCCCACATTCAAGGGTAGAATTCGATTCGACGAACAGCAAATGTTTGGTGTCCGTAGATAGTTTCGCCGTCTTAGCTCTTTTAACACCGACTTTGTTTTTCTATCGTCTTCTTTCAATTATGTCAAGTTTAAAGCCGGATAATGGTGGGAACGATGCAGATTGTTCTACTGGCGAATCTAAGCTGAAGTTCAATTTCCATCTATTTGAAAGATGTTCTGGTGGTGTTCTGAATTTGAGATTTGACTCTTCGGTCCTCGAAAGCTATTATACTCTTTGCTCGTTCCCACACTCACTTTCGCGTTTCAGAATAGCAGTTTCCTACTTCGCTCTTGTTTGTGCTGCTTGGTTGATATTCTTTGCAACTGCTGGAACGGAGCAATGGATGATATACGTTGCTGGAGCTGCCGCGGGTCTTGTCGTCGCGATTGTCCTTTTTGGTCTAACATGTTCGAGAGTAATCTTTGAAAAGAACTTCCTTGTTTTATATATCATTCTGGCCCTTTTTTTCAGTCTGCTTTTCCTTCTCGCCTTTGTCCCCCCAACTGTTGGTGTTTCTTCAGCCTTTAACGCCAGCTTAATTGTCCAGCTGCTCTTAGTTATCTATATAAATATTCCTCTCAGATTATGGCAAGTTATTCTTATCTGCGGTCCTGTTAGTATTATCCACGTCATCTTATCATGCACTGTCTGTGGAAGAATAAATGCAAGACTAATTTGCATATACATCCTTTTACACCTCTGTACACATATGATTGGATTTGCACAACATATCTTATCTCAAGTAAGTTCTGTTGAAAATAGTTTGTCCCTTTTTATGTACATCCGTTATGTCATACTTTGCTTCAGATCATTTTTATCTTTCTGGTCAAAAGTTGGTGGTGTGTCACATGAATTCGGCGACTGGTCGTTATCTGTCGTATGTTCCTATTCAAACTTAAAAACAACTCATCTGGACGTTTGTAAACTCCAGAGGAGAAATTTTTTTAAATATTCGAAAAGCGAATAATTGCAACGTGGTCGTGAATTTGTGCGTTTCTCAGAAATTAACGGCCTTTTTTCTTACCAAAACTAGCCTTCCTGCAGCTAGTTGTCAGCAATAACCTGATACTGACAATAGTCGTTTGGTAAAACTGCATGTTCTCGTTGTCTCTACTTGATGTATGTTTTCCATGGTAGGTTAAATTTGCATTTACATCTGTTTTGTCTTAATTATGTATTCAGTCAATTGTGGTGAATTGTAATGTCGGTTGATATGAGAAGCTGACATTAGGTTACCCTTCAACATTTCTGGTGTTTTGACAGGAAGGTATTACATTTGTCTCGTGTTTTACTCTGGGCACCGTGACACTGCACAACCTCTTAGTAAACTTCAAGTCGATTTTGTTAACCGTATTTTAAGTGGTTGAAATTGCATGAAGTTATTTTCTTGCTAGTCAAAGTGGGGCTTCAATTTAATGCTTTTTCACATCTTATTCCTTTTTGTATTTAAATTATTTGCTCATTAATCAGCTTTAAGAACCCGGTTTTTACCAAACTTACAGCTAGAGTTTAGTGTAAACTGAATTTACTTAGTTAACGTATCAGCACTTCGCCTTCAGATTAATTGTACGCACAGGCTTCGGTAAGTAAGTGCTTAAAGTTCTAGCCATTTTCATCTTTATGGCTCGTAATAGACATGACGACAAATAATTGTGCTCCGTTTTTAAAAGTGCATGGTTTAAAGAAAGTAACCGCTCGCCTGTTGTAAACCATTTTTTGGATGGAGTTATCTTAAACGGTTATACGCTTTACACACTCTCATAGTGTCTGACATAGACTTATTTAACACTTTAATTTCCTTAGATCTTCGATAGCAAACAATTGCGTTCCCAGATTGAACCCATTTATCACCTTCCCCTTGGCGAAAGACTTTTAAAGCCTATTCTTGTAATTTTCGGGACACATGGTCAATGTTTGTACCCTATAATTAGGTTAATGTCATGTACGGACTATTGGTCAAAATGTAACTCGATGTCTTAGATAAGAGTCGTTAGTAATTATGTGGCAAGTATTAGTATCTTCGTTCGGAAATGCTTCGGTAGAACTTTAATAGAGGGTTTTGTCTTTTTACGAACGAACTGGTTCCAAATAAACATTTCTTTCCTAGGAAATGAAATGTTCTTCCTGACATCTACGGGGTATGTAGAGAAACTGATCTTGCTTATGAATCATTTAATGAAAGCAATGTAGAGACCAAATGGGGATTTTGTGAGACGGTTGCTTCAATTCTTTGCTCTTGATGTGCTCGTAGCGACATGCTTACTCAAGCATCCTTGCCATGAGGACCTTGTGCGATTATTTTAGGTGCGTCGTCGGTCAACCTTTATGCGCCTCGGTCACAGTGCTTTGATGCGCAAGGCTTTGGAGAAGGAGCAGCAGACTCAGAACGAAATGATTCTTTCCCTTATGCCCCAGAAGGTTGCTAATGAGGTGATGCAAGGCTCCTATAACAGTGAAGATGATGGCGAGGTAAACGAAGACGACGGGAGTAACGACCCGAAATCGAATGGTATTTGGAGGGACAAAAAGTCTACCAAAATGAAAAAGCTTGTAAAAAATGGAGGTGCCCTAACAGAAAGTATTAGTTTCTCTGACGATAACTACAGTGCTAATGAAGCTTATCCCTTAAAAGGATCGGAAGAGGTCATTAGTAAGCTCTTTTTTATTTTTATGACCATACCTTTGTCGCTTTTCTGGGTGGGGTGGATTTTCGGCCAAAATTATCTTCCATACATGCTTGTCATTAATAATCGAAACACTTGGCATTATCAAAAATATAGAGAAACTTTGTTATAAAAAATTGCATTTAAGCAAATCATTGGGCTGAGCTAGAAAAGATATGTTGTGAGAGGTGACTAGAAGCGTCATGGTGATTGTTTTCTTCGCACGGTTAAACTGTGACCGATTGAGTTTAGGTCGTATTAAATTTGACACTCAGCATCTTTAATTAAGGCTGTGTCCGAGTAAAGTACGTTTTAACTGTTAGATTATTTTTATTGTTTAGTGACCATTTTAATTTAACTGATATGTATAGTGCTCTCTCCGTCGGTGATTAGCATCAGTTGCTTTCATTATTTCCATGGTACAACGCCTTGCACTCGAATGACCTAGAATGTAACAAGTATATTATTTCCTCCTTAATCAGTACGTCTTGCTAGGTCATTTTTTGTCGTGGGAAATGGACGGACTACTGTTACGCTCTGTCATTCTACACACTTTTTTACTGAAACAAGACTTGCCATTATCGACAAATTAATCAATTCTTATAGTGTTCCAGTGAGATGTTTGCATTTTAGTGCAATGTGGTAAAAAAGTTATGGCATTGCTCTACCCACTGAGTCTAACACTGGTGTTTCCTCCGTTTTGATATACTTGGACTTACTTGTTACTATAATGTGCGAATTTAGATAACGTTTTAATTCTTTAAATTGAAGTGTCGGTGGGGTCATTTACATTCGAAACCATTCTCATTTTTACATTGTTATAAGTGCAATATCGCGGGAGTCATTGTTAGTATAACAGTCATCACTTACTAGTAGAATAATGATCAAGAGTTCTAGCATGTTCGTCAATCTGTTATATATATTTGGTATTCATTAAGAGTATTAGTTTTCCTATCATTGAACATAATTCCTTTGTCTTTTCGAATCCCCTTAGCCTTTTCTCGATTCAGTATCTTGAAATCATAATAATTTATGTAAGATACATATTCCACCATGTGTTAAAATGCTCAAAATGTCTTCAAGTAAACATATCGAATGTCACCCAAGCACTGCTTGATTTCAGTTAGCATTCACATAATTTTCGGGTTTTTTGCCCGGAATAAAAACGAACCAACTCTTTGAAAACGCAACTCACTCCCTATTTATTTAATTATAAATAAATACTGATCAATAGATAGTTGTTTGGTGTCACTTTTCCTGTGTTCGTTGTTGCAGACACGTTCATTCTACCATCACCCTCGAATCTAATAATGTGCCTGATCGGCGATAGCATGTACGAGGCCTTCCTGTTGGTTGACAAATTCGCCCACTTGATTGGTTAGCTAAACGCAGTAACTAAGGTAATCGATGTACATGGACGGCGAGAGGAAAGTGGTTCACGCAAGCCGTCGGGCGTTTTCTGTTGGTGGTGTATCTACGATAGGGTCTTGGAACAGTCATTTTTTAAGATTTTTTATGCAACATTTTTCAATAACAATGTGTAGTCCCACTCCGTCAAGTCAAAATTCTTCCTACTTTAGTTTTCCTATTGTTCTGTCAGTAAAATCACAGTTACGTGCCAGAGATTTTTCAAAAAATTGTGGACTTTCTGCTGTAGTTGAACACTGGTGTCTGCTAACCAATCACTGGAAGCATTAATTTGTGCCAATAGATGTAGAACCCACAGGATAATTAATATTGACGTCGTGTTTAATGGTGTTACTAAACATTTTTCATGCGTATTTTCGAACGTGACTTTGTAGTTCATTATGGTGGCTCATTTTAATTCATCGTCTGCTTTTTTGTTTGAGTGCCTTTGTACTTTTTTTGGTTGAAGGTGCAAATGGAGTATGTGTATTCAACTGCAAATAATGGTTGAAGGTGCAAATAGAGTATGTGTATTCAACTGCAAATAATGCTCTATAGTAGTTAAGTATAGTGTTTTGTCACAAACCCCTTTTTAGTAGCTACTTTAATGGCACTTTTGCACACCTTTGAATGGCATGTGTATGAAACCTGTGCGTTTGTCAACCCAGCCTTTTCATGTCCCGTTATCCATACCACACCCGTCTGTCGTCGAGCATTTCCGGACTCGTGCCTTACGTAGAAATCGGTAATAAGCGGTTATTAGAAATGACATCGACTTCCGGTTCTGCCGCCTCGCCTTAGGATTCGGTATAATCTTGAGTTTTAGCGGTTTTTTTCCCATTTAGTAAAGGGACTTTTGGCCTGCGTTGATTGCAAAGTGAGTATTTCGTGTAGGATGGTGTGGAGTCTGCCAAAATAGGCACTCGACATTTCCTAAAATCTTCACAACGGATGGCGGATTCGTTAAAGGATATCTTATATTCGCCTAGGTCGTGGGCAGCATAGGCCTTATGGCTCGGATGTAAAGATGGCTTCTCCTTCCACAGCACCGTCACAGCCTTTACCTGTTGCCGGGCACGCCGTCAAGTTCCGCAAGTTTCACGTCAGCCAGATGGAGAACGTGAGCATACTCTTTGCCGATATTGTTGGATTCACCAATATGAGTTCAAATAAATCAGCTTCACAACTTTTGTGTCTTCTCAACGATCTCTTTGGACGGTAATCGTTTCTTACCTTTTGAAAATTTTCATTTTTTGTCTTGTTTCTATAGTGATTTTGAATATTTTTCGGCCAATACTACTACTGTTAGTACCGCTATGCGTCAATACTCAGCAGTTCTACCTCAGAAACAATTCGTTCCTACTTTCCAAAAAGTTTCCTAAACGTGTTCCTTTTTCCTCTGACACAAGGACATCAAGGGATTACACGTTTTCTATGTTGATGTCCCCAGTTGGCGGTTTGTATTGACTCGTCGCTCTTTGCAGTTTTCTCTTAGGCCAAATTGTGGTTGCTAGGTTTGTACATGGTTTGAGTTCACTGTTCATCAACACTTCTATGCTGCCACACTTTACCCTGCTGCCCCGACATATACGGCCACCTCTTCAAATCCTGGCTATATTGCGTTGCCAACTGTTTGCCGATTCGTATTATCGTGTTAAATAAATTTGTGAAACCCGAGTTTTTGCTTTCCTTCAAATTACAGTAAAAATACAGGTTTTGACAAAAGATTAATGTCAAATGTGGACGGTTATTTGTGACGGTTATTTGCAAGTGCGCATAAACACACTTATGAAACTGCATTTTGGGAATTGCGGAGCTTTCATTACCTTGAATATCCTTTATATCTTTAACAGTAAATTTTGCTATTCCAAACAATTTATCAGCCTGTTTAGTCAAGTTATACAGGGAATCATTACCCAGGGCTATCAAAAACTTACCTAGATTTCACATAAATTTGTCAATGATGTTTCTTAAAGAGGCCTTCTAAGTAGACATCCAGTGCAGTGTATAGCAGCGGTGCATTTGCTCACCGCTCAGTTTATTCCGAATTTTGTAGATTTGATAGCCTCTGTGAGTTGAACAGATGTGAAAAAATTGCGACTTTGGGCGATTGTTACTACTGCGTGTCGGGGTGTCCCAACGCGGTGTCGGACCATGCCGAGAGGATTGTTGAAATGGGTCGTTCAATGTGCGTGGCCATTCAGCAGTTCGACGACGACCATGATGAGCAGGTAAACTTTTGTCCCAATCCCATTTTCCCAGAAATATTTTTAATCGGCATTAGTAATTCGAGCATGCTTCCTCCATCAATAAATGCCTTACCGATGGTCCAAATGTTGGGTTGTGTGACAAAGTAATTTTTCCGTAAAATTGCTAAACCAAAGCAGGGTACGCGCGAGAATTTTGGAGTCATAAATAAAGAGCTAGTCAGGTTTTTCCACTTCTCTTCCTACGCAATACCTTGAATATTGTGAAATCCCGATATTTTGAACTATTTTTTTCTAGCACCTGAATAGTTTCTCTGTCTGGCCCCCGTCGATCGTACCAGTGATTTCTTATGTTTTTTCAAAGACCTCGATTTTGATTTTAATAATTTCGTCAATTTTACCTGCAGGTCAATATGCGTGTTGGTGTTCATACCGGTAAGGTTATTTGTGGTTTGGTCGGCACACGTCGCTTTAAATTTGACGTCTGGTCAAACGATGTCACACTGGCCAATCAAATGGAGTCTTCTGGTAAAGCTGGTGAGGTTCACATCTCAGAAACTACATTGCACTTTGTCAAGGACATCTACGAGGTATCCGAAGGAGAACCTGTTCCGGGTATTCTTCATTTTTTTTCTATGAGTTTATCACATCTACCGTTCATGCAATTTCAAAATGTTTTTTTTAGATATTCGCAAGGTAAAAGTACTGATTGAGTACTATAACAAAGAAGATCAACGTTATGCCATTAAACATACTCAAGATCAAACTCGTAAGTTTTTATTTGTATGCAAGGATAAGTGGTACATTGCTTTTAGCGATTAATTAGATTAATAATTATGTATTCAGAATTGCAAGGTAATTTCTCCCATTATTCTCAAACGCTTATGATCCACACTTCTTTCATGTTCGAATGTAACATTTCTATATGCTTTTTGCGAGAAGCAAGTCGCATCACATCTTTTAACGAGTCTAAACAATACTATCACATAAATAAAATAAATAATGCGCGAATACAACTAAATTACTGGTTATTTATTTAACTTTACTGATTAATTACTATTCACAGACTCAAGGTGTCTATGCGCCTGAGAGTGTGAATTTACTCAATTTCCGCTACTGTGTCCGATCCCCTGGCTCAAGGGGGAAAATTTGGTTCTAGTATTACACCCACTTTATTTCATATTACTTTTAATTTTACTTCTATTGTAGTTATCAAAACCTACTTCATTAAGAGGCGTTTTGATGACAAACCGGTGGTCACATTGGATAAGGTATGTTGAGCTTCTATTTCTTTAACATAGAGATGCTGCTTGGACTACATGTTTTTAATCGTTTCCTTGTCTTTTTGACCCGCGCCTTATGTCGTGCAACTGGATCCTTTCGGAAGCTGCTTGTGGAAAGCCATAAGTGGGAAACGATTGTGCTTTTGAAGAAATTTCTCTAAACTGATGTCTGTTCTATCAGGGTACAACAGATTTTAAGATATAGAGTTTTTAGTAGCGCTCAATCAGGTAAAATTCAAAATGTCTTCTATCAGTTTCTGTCCTGAATATCGCTTTTTTACAAGTTTTACATAAACTATTATTGTGACATCTACTACTATCAATCTATTTAGGAAGTCTATGTTTCTCTTATTTAATGTGCTAGATTTTTGATGGTTGACGTCTGCGTCAACTAGCACATTGCATTTTCATGTAACCAGAGTTGGGCGAGGGAACTAACATAATGACACTTTAATTTATTGTGCATTCAGAGGATACAATGTAATGATTGAATGGTCGTTTGAAGGTGTAGGCTGATTTACTTCTCAGCGATGCCTTGTCGAATGGAATGTGAGAGGCCTTGGGTTATTGGTGGGAATGCGCGTTCCTCCTAATACAAACCTTAATGATAGCCGTTTTAATTCTTGCGCTGCAGGTAGTGTTCGTTTTGTTGATTATACAATTTATTGACAGTATTTATTTACATTTAATGCAATCTAAATCTTAAGGTAAATATTAATGTCAATGAGAATATGGATTTCGCAATCGTAACCAATGTCAACAGACAGAAAGCCAGTGTTGATCCAATTTGCTATCTACTAATGCAACTGACGTGCTAATTGAAAGACCTCATAACAAACGGAGCAGGTAGCTAAAAGGTGAAACGTGGCCTTCAGATATTTTGAATATTTGACGTTGAATAAAAACCGAAAACGCTACGAAACACCTCCCGATTACCATAATGCCATTTCTGCGTGTCTCATTATAGTAGTAGGCTGCTTCATGGTAGTGGTCCTATTGTGTGACTGCGGAATAGGCCACGTATTCGGAATTTATAATTGTGAGGCGATTTTGATCCAGTTTCAATTCATTTTTTCCATTGACCGAAAGACCTTGGTCTCCTCACACGTAGTCCGTTTTTACTGAATGCCACGGTTCACGTTTTGTTTATAGGCAGAAGAATGTTATGGAAAAAAAACTTGACAATACTACTTACATTAGGTTTCGTGATTGTTCGTTTTAGTATAGTAAACTCAATTCCTCATTCAGAATTTCCAGCCATGGTGTTGAAAATGACGTGCTTTTCAAAATTGCCTCTCAAATGCAGCAGTCGGCTGAGTGAGCTAATTCGATGAAAAAGAAGACTGGACGACATAGGGCTAAAACTGGGGGTATCGCGAGCATTCCGCTGCGTATTGGCCTGCAGCTCCTCGAAATATCATAGCGTTGCCAGCGTTAAATGTGTGGCTTGTGTGCAGCATGCTTCGACTGCGGGTTTCGGGCTGGGGAACAACCTGTTTGATTCACTATACCACACACTGATGCTTAGGTCTGGATGCTGCCTTCTTTTTAGCGAATAGTTCATCGATTTTATCTGTTGTCGATTTGGTAGTAGTCTATTGTTGACATGTCGAACCTGCAAAACTGTCTTGCCTATTCGCATGTCGGTTTCACACTGATCCTCTTGTTTTACATCCTTACGAATGCAATCTTCTGCCTTTTTAGGTTACCCCAATAACTGAGGTGAGTGTAAGGTTTCCTCAAATGGCTATTTTACGATCAATCGAAGGTGGCTAATTTCCTCTGAATGCTGTAAAATTATCGCCTAGTTTTCCAAACTACGCGTCAATGCGCGAATGCTATGTGAACTATTTTGTTGTCTCAATAAACTTTGTGTGCAGTGATTATGCTCAACCGTTTCCACTCAAATAGCATCATAACCAGAATCGAAAGTGAAAAGGGAGAGGATTGCTTCTCAAAACCTTTTTTATGTACATAGGTCTCTACATTGAATGCACAGCTAATTTTTAAATGCTTACATTTAGAATTTAATTGCTTATTCTACAAGATGCTAAAAATCACTACTTGATTCGGAGGACTGGTGTTTGCTGTAGTGCTTTACCCAAATCCTGCGATTGCATATAAAGAAATGGCTTAGTGGCACTCATCGTTTGTGGAATTTTTTTGTGCTCTTATCAACTGACCAGCTTTTCTTTTTTTAGACCAAACAATCTGGAAATATCAATGTATCACACGTTGTTCAGGACCAACCTAGTTCGTCATTTGAACAAATCATTTCACCAAACATAGGGTCAAATGAGTTGACACTGACGACGTCTCCTGGGTCGATTGAACCAGAGGTCAGGGCCCGTGGTTCCGATGTGGAGATGCTTGATGCTTTGTGGAACCTCTCCAAACCAGAAGAGGTTTTCAAATTCCCCCCCATCTCCCCCTTTTCACTTTGCTTTCTATCGCGGTCACTTGAACAGATCTATCGCCGGCAGGTCCTCCGTGTTCCCCGGAAGTCTGTCCTTGTGACCCTCGCCACGCCCCGCCTTACCCCCGTCACTAACGGTCTTGTTCACTTCATATTCTTCATTTTGGTCTCCTTGGCATGCTTCTATAATTTCCCAAATCTAATTAATGGAGAACTGGTGCTTGCACTACCCTACGTTGTGTTTGGATTTGGACTCTGCATCAACGGTCTCTTCCTATCTGTGATTTTTTCCGACATGCTTGCATGGAACGGTTTCTGTCCATCCGGAACACACATTCTTCAGCGTTTTTACAGCATCTTATTTGACTGGTACGTTCGTAACATTTTTGGAGCTCTCATGCTTTGCAGCCCAGCGGCATTTGTTTTAGCCAACTTCCAACTCTGCATGTTTTGGAACAGTAGAACTTTGAATGTAAGCGCAGCAGCTGAATTTTCGATTGGCGAATACCGAATGGTTCATGGGATTCTGTTCACCTTCATGCTTTTTAATTTAACCCTTTTCCCTAACTTCTCGTCATGGACGAAGTCTCTCTCAGCAACAATAATCTGCTTGACTTCATGCTTGTTAATGCACTGGCCATTCCAGGGATTTTCCTACTCATGTCCTAGCCAAGTGGTCGGTTTTTCGGCGATAACCTCGGCAATTGACACAAATTCTCCTCCAGTCTGGTTAGCTGCTGCCGAAAGCACTCTGTTTCCTTGGGAAATGACTGTAATACTTTCCCTGAATCTCATATTGATATTTTTCCTTAACCGGGATATAGACATCAGCTTTCGCGTCAGTTTCAATCGTGACTTTGAGGCTAGCCGTGCGAAGAAGGCCATCTCTCGTGAAAAGATGCAAGGTGAATGGCTTCTAGAGAACATTATTCCGCGTTTCGTGCTGACCGACTTAAGGAAAACCAACAAGTACTCTCAACACGTTAAGGACGCCGCCGTGATGTTTGCCTCAATAGCCAACTTCTCTGAATTTTATGATGAGCAATACCAGGGCGGACAGGAGATGTTGCGTGTGCTGAATGAAATTTTCGCTGACTTCGAACACCTCCTCTCATCGAGTAGGTTCAAGGACGTGGAAAAGATAAAGACAATTGCTGAGTGTTTCATGGCAGCTTCCGGATTGAATTTGGTTCAACGTGCACAGAATAAGTCACCAGATGCCCATCTCTATGCTTTGATGGATTTCGCAACCGAACTTTTGAAGACTCTGGAGGACTTCAATCGTCAGATGTTCAACTTCCAGTTTGAGTTAAAGATAGGCTACAACGTTGGTGAGGTCACTGCCGGCGTTATTGGCACAACTAAACTATTGTATGACATTTGGGGGGACACCGTGAATGTGGCTAGTCGGATGTACTCCACCGGACAAAAAGCAAGGATCCAGGTAACTGAGGATGTGGCTCAGCGACTCTCCTCCCAGTATGATTTTGAGTACAGAGGAAACGTTTTCGTTAAGGGCAAGGGCGAGATGAGGACTCACTTGCTCATTGGCCGGAAGGCGGACGCCGAACCCTATTAACTCGCCTCACATTAGGTAGCGCGAATGTTTTTGTAAGCCCTGAAACCTCCAGATTATGCATTCATTATGATGTCTATAATTAGGCGTTTTGTCCTTATTTACTCATATCAAGCCTACCTTCTCCGCTCCCTATTCCCTAATCGACAACTGATTTGAAGCATTCATTCTTTCGGTGATTAATCACAATCGGTTAATTTATCCTATGTCATCATCTTCTTTTATTTATACGAAATAAATTTATCCTTATTTGAAGAAATGGGACTTCCTTTAGCCCTTGCCTTTCTTTGTGGTTAGGCGAGCATTGTACAGGTGATAAGCACCTGTTACCATGTATGGTTAAGGTTTAGTAGCAGTTGGAAAACAGTCGAAATAAAAGGCATTTTAAAATCTTGCAATTTCAGTGGTACTTTTGAATATTTTCGTGAAGTGCCTTTGCCACATTTTATACATTTTTATAATTCACCAGAAATTATATTGGCTCAAATTTAAACAGACCAATGAAAGACAACCTGCTAAGAACACGAACAAGAACTGTCTAAACTTATGTGAAGCCGTAAGTTTCCTAGGTACGCAAATACACTTTGATCAGAATGCACTTTTTAAGGAGTGTAATACGTATAAGTAAGCTTGGTTGTTTAATTTGGTAAATGTTTGTCTGACGGCATCCATTTATTTGCAGACTGTTCCACTGCTTAAACCTGTCTGAAAACCTGCGCCCTTGGCCAAGCAGTGAAAATGAAATTTTTTTTTCTAATTGTGTACGGAGTAATCAAGTTATAAGAACCATTTGCGAAGATTTAGCGGAAGTGAAAATTATGTCGGCTCAACTGCTAAAATATCACAGCTATGGAAGACAAACCCCGAGCACCTAGAATAACTTAGACGTGAAAGCAAGTCGTACGAATGGTTTTCCAACGAACAAGCACCAATTTCGAGACAGTAGATTTGACTTTCAGTAGATGCACCAATGGCCGGACGCACAATGGCATTTTGAGACAGCATAAAACCTAGGCCCGATATATTATCAGCAGTAAACATTGGTTCTGTAATATGTACGTTACTGGATCCACCCTCCCGAGTAAACAATGATTGTGGATAGTGCTAAGAATGGTAGGAATATGTTGTGAATCGTGTTTATTCACACCCCTTAATCCGGTCACCCCAGCCTCGGACACAGGGTCTCCCTCTGCAAAATGTCGCCAGCCGCGCGAGTCCTCGATTTTTACTCAATCGCGAACGATTATCCTCACTCCTAGGTCTCGATGTTAGTGCATGTGTGACTCACACATTCGAGGTATATATATACACGCACAAATCCCAAACACGACACAACGACACCAGTTTTGGTTGAGCTCTGAAGTAAACGGTTGTGTCGGCGTCCACTCCGTTCTTTCTCTTCATCGCGGGTATTAGGGGAACGTAATCGGGCCAGAGCTAATTCTGTGGCCCCAGCGTGGTTCAAGACCACATGCTGGGGCCCACAACAAATATCCTGATAGTCTGAGCGGCCACATTAGTGATTTGCGTGATCCGGTTCCTACACAACTTGATTGCACCAAGTCCCATTCTTTGAACGTAGCTTGATTTTAATAAGTCGACCCGAACTTACATTTTACTTCAGGTTTCTATAAAGTATTAAAATGGTTGTTTCATTGAGAGATGCGGTATTTCAAAAGTGCACAAGATCGCAATCATTGTTACTAATTAGTTAATGAGTAACGAGGGTAGCCACGGAGCAAATCACATTATTAGCAAGTTTCTTGTGTAAATCCTCACAAGAGAAATCGGTCATGATGCGTTCGGAAATCCAGGGCAGCCTCGTTACGACAGTTTGAAAAGTAGCACGAGCACAGAAATATATAATTCGTATCTCCATTAAGGCATATTTTTTGTTAAGAAATCTGTTAAACTAAAGAGGCTGTTTTGGAATTGGAGCTAACACTGATATCACCTCTAGAGTACGAATGCACATAGAAAGGTATTAAGAGTTTTACTGAAGTTGTCAGTAGGTAATATTAAGCGCCACACAATGACAAGTCTAGTAAAATCAAAATGGTGCTGTGACAGTAACAAAACGTGGTCACATTTATTTCTGTAACTTTTGGCAAACGCCGAACGGGACATCCAAGATCAGGGACTAACGCGAAAACTAGAGGAATGCTTGGTATTCGAATATTAATTTTCATTAAAAATACCAGGTCCATATGAAAATATTTCCATCAAGGGACCGCTAAACAACAACCCAGAGAGAAGGGGGGACTTACACTAGATGTGGTGATGGTCGTACATCGCTAACAGACGCTTGTGGTAAATTCGGCTGTTTTATAGACAATCCACAATGTATTAAAGTTTCAATGTCTGTTTGACAGTTTGCCGCAAATTCGGTAATGAGGCTTGATAGCCGCTTCTCGAGAATCGCCATGTTGGCATAAATACACGCAGATGTAGCTTCAATACTGGTGAAATCCATTCCACTGTAGAACATAGGAAGAGGCGAACATTTAACTGGGCCTTCATCACTCTCTAGTCTGTCCGGAGTTATCGTAGCGTCATCTTCCTCTTCTACTGAGCCCGAATCGTTTTCGTCGAAATCCAAATATTGTGATGAGGTACAATCACTTTCCACGGCCCCCGATGAGTCCGATTCAGCGAACATGAAGAGTGAACGCACAAATGTAACCATCTCGTCTCGCAGGGACTCGCAGAAGGTATTGACGGTTTCGTCAGAACCAAGAAATCCCCAGGCCAGTGCAGGCGCAATAGTTTCCACCAAGCGGTAATAACGAGAGAAGAAGCCATCTGAGTACTTAAGAAGCTTGCGCTTGGCAGCCATAAGAGTCCAAACAGCAGAATCAAGGGCAGAGCGCTTAAAACTTGAACTTAGCCATGAGTTGCGGGTTAATGCCAGTATAGACGAAGGAGGATTTCCAAGGTTTTCGAGAGCATCTATCAGAATACGATCAAACACGATGTCGTAGAAATTTAGTGATTGGACGCCCTTGCTGGCAAGTTCGTCGACAAGACTTGAAAGATTTGCCGAACTTTTAACCGATTCTAGGTATTCAAGTAGACCACTAAATACAAAAAAGAAGCATATCCATACACGACGTCGGTAAGGGAACAGCAAAATTCGCCTATATTCCATAAAAAATATGATTAGGAGACCTTTAGAGTTTCATGATAAACTAAAATCCCAGAGCATTAGAATTGGTAGCTGATCGATAAGTTATTTGGTAGCATAGAAAAAGACGATTTATAATAACAGATATATTATCGCAAAAGGTGAGGGTTTAATAAATTCGCAATTGAACCACTTAGACTGGCGCGTGAATATCGCTGCATTGTACACTCGAAGCGATATGCAAACTCACATTTCATAGATGATACAAAATGACGTCGAGAAATGTCACGAGTGAAAGAGAATGGAAAGCTATTGAATAGAAGGACCAAGACAGTAAAAATACGTTTTTGTACTTACGTAAAGGCCTCCTCAAATTCAGTCGTGCTATATCCAAGGCAGATGAGAACACCCCATGCCAGCGACCGTCCAACTTGTATAATCCAGCCAACCGGCTGGGCCTGAGAAACAATGTAATCAAATGCACGTCGCACGCATATAAGCTTTCCGAGGTATTCAATGTCTGACTGACAGTTCATCATGCCAGTGCGAACAGACCTACAAAGGTAGACCCAGGATTATGCATAAAATCAAATAGTCAATCAATGAAACGCAAAGTACCTTAATATACACCAAGTTAAAAAAACACATTACATCCACTTTTGGAATGCTGACAAGAAGACAATACAAATTATCAATAGCAAATAAATTGGCTAGTAATATAAGACTAAGCCCAGTTGGGAATAGATAACCTTATTTGGGTAACTGACTACGCAAAATATTATCTTCATAAACATAAATCGAAACACATGACCCCTAAGACGTGATGATACAACTTACAGTAGCTGAACAACGCATTTTAAAGGTAAATTCCTTCAAATTAACTATATAACTGCATATAATTTTGGAAAACCTTTAAATACGGAAGTACCTGCAGACAAAATTGCCCTCGTTCAACTCCATTAAAGCTCTCCTATAAAATGGTCGATGGAAGTTAGACATTATGTGAATCTCTAGCTCTGAGTAGTCAATATCCTCAGCAGTAGAGAAAAAGGATTCTGAATCGGCATCAGACTGTGAGTCAATTAACTGAAGTTCAGGAGCAGCGTTAGGCGCCTGTTGAATAAAAATGCGCTTGTACCGCTCCCTCAATAAGTAAGAAGTCTCCAGAAAGCTCTGAAGCTCTTTTATGAACATGTCAATTTTTAAATCAGCCGGGTTAACCTGATAAACGGTATTCTGAATTTTGTAGAGACACTCTTCTAATTGTTCAATAATTTTGCTCAGAGTCTGCAATCCAATAGACCCACAATCCAAAGAGAGTGAAGCAACTGTGGAGATTGAATTACCATGGGGTGGGACTTGGCCGCACAATTTTCGATTAGGGACAAGTACACCACGAGACTGCAAAGAAAGACTCTCTTCAGACGGATTAAAAGCCAAGTTGGAGGACCCATGGCCAAAGTGTAATGACTTCTTTTGATCAGATGTGCATTTGCGGTTCACTCCAGTGGAATTACGAGAAAAAAAGCGTTTAATAAACCAGCATGTGCAAACAGCTGCGGCACCGGCCACAATTAATGAGACAGTAACTTTGATTGAGGGCTTTTGTATGCGAATCACCCAGTGCTTCGACATTATCAATTACGCAATGAGAACATTCTACCACGATTCAGAAGGACAACCGACAACGCAACCATATATGTAAGGTTGTGTGTTGTGGTGTGGTGTGGTGTAGCGGAATGACAGGCGGCAGCCATATTGGTGACGGTGGTGAGCGCGGCGCGGAGGCGACGTCA